CGCGTAGCTGCTGGGTCATGCTGTCCTCAGCTGAATTCACAACTATATGGTTTCACAAGCTGACATTTATTACGGGTTTTTAAAATATCCATTAAATAATCAAAATTCATTGTTAGTGAACATGTTTTCGATACTTTTTCTTCATGGTAGTACAGTTATATACCAGCCACATCATTTAAACAGGCTTAAGGTCGTTGAAACGGGGTAAAATCAGTTTAGAAGAGCTCAGTTATCGCCATTGATCAGGTCGATGTCGGAGCCTTCACGTGATCCAACCGAGTAAAATTCACTATTCGATCGGGTCAGAGCAGCTGTAAGGCCTGGACAAATCGCTCCTGAGTGCACAGGTTCGGTTCGTGCAGCCGAATTGCGATAGCTTCAGCGGCTTCTAGAATCTGTCTGCGCATATACCTCGATCGATTATCCAGGGCCTTTTAGATAATTTGGAATGCTTCGGCCGGCCTAGGATTGTATCTTCTGTCGGCAAGGTGGGCAGCTATAGCTGAGTTACATACCCTTCCGCATCCAGTCGCTAACCATGCCAAACGGTGTTCTTTCACTCTCTCGAATAGACACCTAGTCGTACGGTCAATATCTCCTGCTCCACAGGAACAGGTAAGTGAATAGATGCACATTGAGTTGTCTTAGACAGGTCTAGTATTCTTGAGGCTGAGCTTCACTGTCGGTGTGCCAACCTTTTCTAAACTGATTTTACCCCGTTTTAACGACGTCAGCAGTCTGTCCAATTGATGTGACTGGTATATACTTGTACTAGCCTGAAGAAGAATTATCGGAAACATATATTACGGATGTGTCCAACCTTGCCGCAGTAGAAACACCGAATTTCGGTGAAGACAAGTGAGGCGCTCTGACCAAACCGTTTAGGGACATTGCTAGGATTGACAAGTTTCCGGTGCTTTCTCATAAGGGTCGATGATCTCCGTCTGGCTTTGAGAATTTGTATTGCTACCACTTTTGTTGAATAGCAAAAGTGTTATTTTGGCCTATCCAAACAACATTTGCTGGTCAGGTGGCTTTGGGCATTTTAAGTTTTAGTAAACATCTTGGTAATTTTGACAAAATAGTTTGACCTCTTTGTATATGGGATAAAGAAGTGAGAGCAACTGACGATACAGAGTTGGAATATTAATACCAGCAGTTAAACGATCTCTGAGATCCTTATCGAGTTTGTCACCTAGAGAACACCGAGAAATTTGAGCATACAGCTGAAAAACAAATTCACGCACCATCAGCTTCGGTGGACGCTGTTTGAAGGTTGCATTTGGCTCTTACCGCCACCTCAAACTCCTTCGGGGTAACAAGTGGTCAAGCAATCGATTTCGTCTGCTTCTTCACATACGGGAGTTTCGATCGTACATCAACATAAGCCAACTTTCTCAAAAGTGAATAAGCATTATGATCAATCGTATTCGGGAAGTGTGCACTTTTTCTTTGCGTAATTCAGATTTTGTGAGCCATACTTTGAACTGCTGCAGATATTCCAAGTTTCTTACGAGGATGAATCACTATCCAGTACTACAATATTTGAATTTGTTGAAACCTGACCGCGACGCCAGTTATACTGCTTATAGCATTTATAATAACCTCTAGTTCCAGCCAAAGCTAGCTTCAATAAAAAACAGTATCGAAGTTTAATTTCATAATCTATTGTCATAATTAAGGCCACCTAAAAAATGTCAACTGAAACAATATTTACAGCCGTTGCACTTTTGTTTCCTTACGTGATCTGGCATTTGAGACAGTTCTTTTCTAGCGGAAAATACATTTGACTTATCTACGCAGCGTGCCTCTAAAGCCGCCGGCCATGATTTGTCGAAGGTCGTCATTTTTTCCGACTTATCAACCAATGATAGCTCAGTGTTTAGATTGCTGCGTTGCTGGTCCCGTCCATCTCAACTTTCCATTTTCCGATTTTATTCCTTCTTTCGTCTCAGTTTTACTTCTCTTTCCTGCCTTCAGCCTCTGAGGCGGAACGTCGTGAATTCGTTGACCGTATCGCAAAATGTGCTCGCAAGCTCAGCACATACAATGAACTGCTCGAGGAAGAAGCTAACGAGCGGTATAAGCTCAGCCTGAAGTTGCGCGCTTACCATAACAAAGTCAAACAACAGATTAAGCAATATGAGAGTGAATTAAAGGCAAGTTACCGGCACTTACATTCGGCCGTCACTTTTTTATATAGTCGTTAGACCTGTTGTTGTGACCTGCCATGTTTCACCTTGATATGGTTTTTACGGCCTGCTTGACGTCTCGTTTCTTTTTTTTAAAGGAGTTGACTGACAAACGTGATCACGGTGTTGCTCTGAAGACCGAATTGTTTAAACACATGTCGAGTCTGCCCGATTTGAATCTGCTGCCTGACATAACCGCTGGCTTGGATCCTTTACCTACTGTGGGCGATCTGTTTGGATAAGCGCTTCTCTGTACCATTAGAATCCCTGACTTTCGTGCATTTTTATTTGACCTTTGATGTAAATATGTTCGAAATATTGTTTTTTTCTACCTATACCCATTTTTGTGCGATTTAATGTCCGCAGTGTCCTCGGTTTCAGTAATTTCAGCTACCTATCACTGAACCCTCCAGTGGCTATCGTGGGAATCGAATGTGACGGTCAACCTTCACTTCAAGCAAACCCAAGATGAATTGTTAACCGCTACGAAAGCGCTATCTGCAGTCTGGTGAAACAGTGATAAAGCCGTCTTTATTCATCTCCACGTCTCAAATTTGAGTTTCATTTCAACTTCCTCTACCTAAACAGTGTAAATAAGCAGAAGACCGGTCGCGGGGAGGTCATCGTTAGTAGCGTGCAGCGCATATTGGTGATACGTCCTGTTATAAACCTCCTAGTTGGGTTTCGACTGTCCTAGTCAGAACGGATGAACTCTTTCACTCGTTGTTACCCACACGCAGAGTTGCCTAAACGATTCATACTGGAACGGCTAGTGGACTTAACCGTCAGAAGTGAACCCGTAACTGAGAAGGCGGACGGAACGCCTAAATATCGCACTACTGTATCGTGGCCCGCAGAAAGAAGACTAGCCAATAGTAAGAGTACTTTACTGAGTCAATCAAGACAACCGTGCTTTCTACACCTTCGTATTTATAGTGCACTAAAACAGTAGTAATTGTATAAACTATGAGGGAAAGCGTGTGTTTGTTAGCGCATGTGTTGCCATGTAGTGATCTGGGCAGAAATGAGCGGGTTCGATGCTGTTGTGACGTTGGGCGCATCATAATTGCTGAGTGTGTTCGGTAGCTAACGCATTGGCATGAACACAGCTCAGCTGACTGACTGTTGACTTGGGGAGAGTCCGGGAGATACGATAGTGAGACTGTGGCGAGTTCATTGGAAACTGTGCGGGATAAGCTGGTCGCGTTCTCACTGAGGAGAACTCCGTTGTAATCTGTGCAGATGAGTGGAACCTTGTCCGCAGTTTCCGTAGGTTGAGCTCCGCTCTGATCTGAGTAGTTTAAGTATCTGCATAGCGGTCCTATATCGCCGGTGAACTCCGGTGATTACAGAAGAGTAGTAGGGGGAGTTGAATGGTATAGGTAGCAATTCGTCACATCTAGACTCACTCAGACAGCCGCCACACGCACTGTACGCGCGTTTCATCCTTTCGGGAATCATCCGCAGTGCGCATTCCATCGGACCCTTGGTAGGGCTCGACTGTTGCCAATCCGTGGTTGAGATCACTGAGCTACGGTGAACGGCAACGACCATCATGAATAAGTTACTAGATAGGATATAGCTCCGCTAACTATCCACTGACTTACACGTTACTGCCGTGCAGTAACTCCGATGAGTTTGGCAGGGCTATGCCAGCCTTGTAGCACACCCCATGATCTGTTGCAGGGGTCCTCTTGAAGCCCTCGTTGCTTGAATGCCTTTGCATCGCACAATGTCAGTGTGCACGGGCACTCACTTTGAAGTGAACTTTGGTCAATTCGGCCACCGCGACTGCATCTGGCGCGTTTTCCGATCCGGGTGTCTCTAGCTCGCAACACCGCTGTGCACACGACCAGTTTCGTACTTGTTCGCACTCGTCTGGAAGAGCGGGCAGTACTGCGACTTCTACCACGGACGTTGGGGTGCAAGTTGAACCCTCAAACAAAATGAAGATTGAAGTTGCGCATCCCAGTTCATTCACACAACGCGGGTGCTTCAAAATTAATCCGCAATGAGTACACTTGACTGCTGTAACAAGCGCTACCCTCGCGGCTCGTTGGCTTAGCGGTAGACAAGCCTCCGTCGGCATCCCAACGTCCTGAGTCATAGCGGTCTCTCTTCCTACCACATGCGAACAACTACGAAGTTGGTCGTACATCGCAGTGCTGCGCGAGTGCAGCCTAGCATCAAATAGTTCGTGCACGCTCTTCTGATCAGCAAAGTTCTGGGAAAACGGACGGATTCCGAGTACGATGATCCACCCAGTACACGCCGTCGTTTGGTTGTTCATTGGTGAATATTCGCAACATTATTACCTTGAGTCTGCGCCTCTACATCATGTGACTGCACGCCGTTGTCGTCAGTGGGGTGACAACACCCGGACGACCAGACCCATACACTAGTGTCAAGGCCTTGAATCCGGGAAGTAGAGATTAAAGCCAGATGCGTGAGCAATCACTGTGTAAATTAAGACACTGTGCGCAGATCAACGAAGCTCGCGACGAGCGGTCGGAATAAGCTGTGTCCAAGAGGTCAAAATCAGCTGACACTCAAGAGCCAAATAGAAACAGACAGGAAACGCATCAACCAACAGACTAGTGTTGATCTTAAGTCACTCGGGCTGCGACTAGGAAGGTCTGTGTAAGTGAAATTGACTTGCGGATTCGTACTCGACTTTTTTGTTCCTTTACTGGGAGTTTGTGTGCTCTGGCAGTTCGACAGAACACGCTGTTTTGTTCACCTACACAGCATTTATGCGCAATAGCTAAGGCGTTTCTCATATCTAGCTGATGTGTACCGTAGGGATGATGACGGTTTATGCATCACAGGATGTGGGAACCAGCGGCACCCACCCCAGCGATCGTTACCTTTATTGGACGCGGCCACATCAGAGATCTTGCTCCACCAGTTTGACGCAATCACTCAATCGAAAAATTTCGGCTCTGTCGCCACTGTGCAAACTCAGTATGATTGACGTGCACCCAGAACGATAGGCACTTTTTTAATTCAAGTTCTCACTGCTCCCTACTCGAGTTTTCACACCTTAGTCCAGAAGAATGTTTGACTTAGAACTGTGAGTAATTTCCCCGTTTTTCCTTCCACATCTCACTATTCCCTTAAAGCGATTTACTCGCTTTGCTTCAGAGTTCCTGTCGCTCACTTTTGAATACCAATACCTCAGAGTCCCACGTTATCTACCTATTTCGAACTCCCAACTCATACGGTCACCATTGCACGACTTCCGTCACCACTTGCTGCTGGCATGTTAGCCATAAACTGTTGATACTCTTGACTCTGGGGCTCTGCTTGATGAATGGCTCCCAGTTATGCGAGGTATGTCGATTTCGCAAACAGTGCTTTCAGAATCACCGCCAGTTTTTGACTCATTAGATTTCAGTAGTCAGCTTGCATCCCTTGCACCGGTTGCTCATCATACGGCCCGATTAGTGTATTATACTCCTCCCATCTCTACATGGTGAACAATCGGTAAGCGCATAATATGTCAATTTTCCTCTTCGAATGTCTACACTATTTCCCGGCCAAGTTGTCCTCTTGGACAACAGAAATAATCTGAGGAGGCATTCAACATGAGTCTACTCAATTAATTTGTTCCGTGCGTAGGAACTGAAGCGTCCCACCTGCACTTCTATGACTTAGTGCGTCTGAGGTCCAATTGGCTGAAGGCAACGCGCTATACACACACACCTGCGCAAGTGACTGGCGTACACACGGAACAAATTAATTGAGTAGACTCATGTTGAATGCCCCCTCAGATTATTTCTGTTGCCCAAGAGGACAACTTGGTCGGGAAATGGTATAGTTCCTACTTCGGGTTTCATTAGAGGTTGTTTATGTGATTGATTCAGTAGAGAGGCGTGCGTTATACAGTCGGGAACTGGTTCCTCGCTCTTTGAATGGGGTGTACTCCCTCGCGATTTGCTGTGCCTCTGTGTACAAATGAAATGCATGTCAGCGTCGTATTTGCTCACCGAGACTACACGCACCAAACTTCGTCTAAGTACTGGGGTTCTTCCTATAAAGTGGCGTTGCTTGCCAATCATTGTCATTATCCAGCCAACTTCTCTGGTTCGAACTGTGATAGGTCTGAAGCAATCGTACTTCAGTTTGTTGTATGCATCGTTCCATAGTCTACTTGTTTGTGGCGTTTTCTCCTCCAGAAACCATCGATTGGTTGAGCTTTCACCTCGTGATCTATCATCTTAATGCGCTCGGTAGTCATTAAACTATGGAGACTAGTAACCGTTCTAACTAACCGCTTCAAAAATTCCCGTCTAATCAGTGGCGTCTGTTCCATTGACACTGTGCAAAGCATACCAACAAACGAGTTGCGCGCCTGGACCATTTTCTCCTATTGTTTCTGGTGCCTTTTCACCAGTAAGGTGCCGGCAAAATTTCATCCCGCATCCATTCAAACATTTGGTTCGCATATATGATTGGCCGTTTCCTTGATGGGTCATCGGATTTCCGATCGATTCCACCGTATTTCTCTTTTACCTTATTCACACTCCGTGATTTAACTTCGTAATGGACCTATCTTTCCTTATCTCATTTCTACTCGCTGCAATGTCTTCATGGCCTGCTTTGGCTAGTCACTTAAGTGACACGCGCTCTCCATGTACACATTCGCGACTTTGGTTGTTCAGTGATGCATTGGGGAGCTTTAGACGCCACAGACTGGTGTCATCATGAATAGATTCAGTCAGACGGCCATCACACTTCTAGCTAGGCACTGGATGGCTGTTTCATCCTTTCGGGATTTGTCACCAACGCGCATTCCCTCTGTCCTTTGTGTGACTCTCACCCACGACTACTCCTACGAGCCAGCGATCAAAACTACGAAATCAAGGCGGACGGAGCACGCCGAAAACAGTTACTTCATGTATTGCGGTATTGCTCCTTATCCGCTGAATTGGACGTTACCACCGCGCAGAGCACAAAGTATGTATGTCTGTACCCACAAACTGTTGTATAAAATTACCGTTTATCGTTATCGGCACTGATGATACGATACGAAATGCATGCATCTGTCGAACTTCGTTTTCTTATTATGGTTTTCAAGTTTCTAAGGGGAACTAATTATCTTAAATTTCTCAAACAACGAATTCCGTCTGATTCCATTAAATTGCTTTATCGTATCGTCAATCTGAGGCGCAAGGTTCCTCCCATACGTGTGGAAATTAATTTCTCGTCGGATTGTATTCGCATATGTCGTTATCCTCGGGCGGCTTGGAAACTGTTACCTAGAAACAAGCTTAAGCGTTCTGCAGCTAATCTCAGACGCGTCGTATCTGTCCAGCTGAAGACCGCGCGATCCAGACTTGATGGTCTACTGGAAACCTACGCACGCTTGTTGCCCGTAGTCGAAAACTTGCCAGTCTGCTTTCGGATTATATACACCCATTTTTGTAAAGCCAAAATCGATCATACCAAAGTGAAAGAACTAGAATGGCTCGAAAGATCATTGATGAACAACTAAGATGAGGAACCATATACTCATGACCACAGTAAGTATGTGGTGAATCTGTCAAATGTGAACCTTGATGCACTACAGTTAGAAACATTGTCTTTCGGGTTAGATTACAGTGTGCCACCTAGACAATTGATAGGATTGTTCATTGAAACTCAGTTTGAAGATTTTTTGATCAGTTGGAGGACCTTCAACCAACTAGTACCGATAGGCTTATATGGTTTAGAAACAAACTGACCGATGTTGTCTATGAAGTAAAAAAATGCGCCAATAGAAGAAAGGTGCGTGCTTACGAACAGACAACTATGAGCTTTACGGGAATTGCGCGATAAGAATGTCGTTGTAATGAAACCGGATGAGGGCTCAGCAGTCGCAATCATGAACAGAGATGAAGCGTCATATTCAGTGACACTAACAAATTTAAACGACTGGAGAAGGCGGGGGATATGACTGCTTTCGTATTCCCCGTTATTCACCACTTAGAAATGCCTCCTCAATACCACATGATTGACAGCGCTGCTTATAACAGTTTAAAGCCGAGTGGATCAACTACGCCGCAGCTATATGGGCTTCTCAAAACGCACAAGAGCAGAGTGCCGCTCAGACCGATTCTCTCGATGAAGATGCACCCCAACATAACTTAGCTCAATTGTTGGTTAACCCACTCAAAGCTCGGTTTCCTCCACATGGCCTCAAAGATTAATTGAACTTTCTCGCAAGTCTCAAAAAAATGAACTCGTTTGATAAGCTGATGTGTCTTTTAGATATGGAACCCTTGTTTACTAACGTGCGCCACACCAGACCATTGCCTACATCTGCGAATTAGCAGAAGCTTCCGTGTGTTCGTTGCCGATACCGGTTGAATTCTTAAGAGAATTCTTCTATGCGCTGAGAAGGTCGATTTCCACTTCAGAAACATACCGTATCGCCAAATTGATGGGGTATCCATGGGCAGCCCACTGGGTCCCATACTAGCGAACTTCTTCATGCTGATGATAGAACGAAGCCTATCCGAAGATATAGCGCAGTTACCCTGTTACAGACGTTATGTGGGCGATCTCTTTGTGTTCTGTTCAACGAAAATGCGGATCACACAGCTAGTGACGCGTATTAACTCCTCGCATGTCAATTTGAGGGTTTCCTGCGAAGTCGAACAACAGAACTGTCTTCCATATTTAGATGTTCTCATCAGCCGCAGGGAGAACGGACTGGTAAAAAGGTCTGTCTACCGAAAAACAACGTGGTCGGGACAATATCTGCGGTTTACCAACTTTACACCAATGCAGCACAAGTGAACGCTTGTGAAAATCCTATTTAGTCGCGCCTGAGGAATATGTTCGACCGATTGTCTGGCCGACGAACTAGATCTAATTACGCTAATTGCTACCCTCGGAAATTTATCCAGAAGCACAACCAAATCCGTGAAATGAAAGCTGCTGAATCTAAGCAAAAGGTATTCTTAGAGTTGCCCTTTTAAAGTGACATTGCTTCTTTGAGGACTACAAGACGTCTGGTTTCCGCCACACAGAGCACTTTCTGTGCTGCGGAAGACGCAACCATCGACCGAACTCATAAGCTGCCGCTGCCTCCACTGAGGGAAACTCAGTCTATTGGGGCCAACTCCCACTGCGTATACCAACTCGTGTGTAACTAACGAGCTCAGTTACATAGGTAGGACCAATAGAACACTGAGTTCCCGAATGAAGAAGCATGTACCAAAATGGGCTCAATGCGAGATTATTGGGCAAACAAGCCCAAGTCCGACTACATGTGTATGCAGGCGGCCGACACTTATTGACCTCGGGTCAAAGAATTGTGGTCAACAATGCATTTATGATCCTGCTTCACCATACCAATTCCCCTCCTCTGCGGTTCGCCGAAGCCATTGCCATTAACCGGATTAAGCCATTGCTTTGTGTGTTGAACAATTATCGGTCAGCCTCAGGCTTCCCTGGTTGTAGGAGAAAGGCACCCGCTTTTCCTCTCGTTTGTTTGTATGTATGTCTGCACCCACGAACAGTTGTATAAAATTGCCGGTTATCGTTATCGGTACTGATGATACGATACGAAATGCATGAATTTGCCAAACTTAATCTTACAATAGTGTCTTTCAAGTTAATTAGAGGAACTGACTGTTTATAACTTCTTTGGTGTGTCCACACCACTCACTCTTATACCTCACGTTCACTGCTGATCGTCAACTTGACTTGACTGTGTGGTTGACCTTTGTGTTGCGTCGATTAAGCAATCGTTTCTCTTTTAGTCCAATGAACCGGCACCAGGAATACTACTCAGAAGTGTTTCACCGCCATGGACAACGTTTGAGAGACCTTCTACGCCAGGTAATCTCCAAAGCTTTGATCAACATTAAGTCAGTATCTGATATTGGCCTGAAGCTAGAGCGCGGCGACTCAGTGTGGTGGTGTTGTTGTTGCCTTTATTTTCTCACATCATTTAGCACCCCAGTAAGCCTTTTGTTTGCTCAATTGCAATGAATCTACCATCCTACTGCTGCAATGCTTTTTCGCCTTTGTTTGTCTTTATAGCTTTGCTTTTTCATTGACTATTATTCTCCGCATTTTTGCGAACAATCTCGAGTTCCTAAACCTTATTCTACTGAACTCCCAAGCCAATTAATTCCGTTTTACTCTGAACTGTTATCAGTTATCATTATTCTGTGCTCGGCGTAAACCAAATCCAATTCGCAGCTGCCGTTTCTGAGAGATGACTGAGCGGATTACTTACATAGATGTGTTGGGCTCCAGCGATGTCAATTTCATGAGCCTTTTCTGGCCGCAGTCTTACAGATCCCTCATGCATTCTGTGCATGATTGTACCCACGTTGCCATTCAACTCCTGTGTAATTGCCTGGGGTTGTTTTTTCTTGTGTTACCTTTCTGTTTTTGGTATTTCGCTGCTCACCACTGCCAAACTATCTTGTTTTCACCATTGTACCCAGCGTGTCTCAGAAGCTCTCGCTTCCAGGCGTAGACAGTTTGTGGATGAAGTGCGCTCCATTAAATCCGCGGAACAGCCTACCGCATCTGAAACGCATTCCACATTACACGAACGTCCTTATCTATTGCAGTCCCTGTTTGAAAACACTGGGGTGAGTAGTTTTAATTGCTTTAGTCTGGTTCATTTAGAGGAGAACTTCGGTTTGCATTTCAGTGTCCATTCGGCACAGCTTAACTCAGTCTGACCGATTTATACCAATTGTTTTTTCTCTTCCTTTCCCTCCTTTTATCTTCATTTTTGCATCAATATTTATTACCATCATAACGACGGACGTCAACGTCTTTGATCCAGGGGTTAGAACTTATAAACAGCTTACATGAGATGCTACGCCATATGTTCATGTCTTCGCTTGTTCCCAAACCTCTTGTGCTTTTGCGATAACACTGTATCCCGTTTCCGCTCTCTTCTGTTGACTATATTATTATCCCCTCCTGTATTATTCGAGTCAGCCAGCGAGAACACGATACCATGACGAGTCATTCACCAACTCCAACGCGCAGCAGTTTGTATGGTGAGGGCAAAGGGATTAACAAGATTGTCACAGCTCCCCAGCACAAGCGACAGACATCTTGTTCCGCAAATGTCCGGATTATACCGTGGTTGCGTGTAGGCCTCTTTGCACACTTGTCTATTATCGGTAAGAATCTTTTCTGTCGAGATCGCATCATACTGACAATTCTCGGTATTCGGCTATGCTGCATGTTACACCGTGAATGCCCCCACCGCCACTTTCAGTCCACTCTTTGGAGGATCTCGTAGTGCAGCCAATTGGTATGTATTTTAGACCATGGTTGTTTACGTTTAGCCCTGTTATACAAATGCTGCACCGCCCTGGCTAGTGACCTACTCGCAGGCGTTTGCCTCCGATGTTACCACCTATCAATTTGGACACCCTTTACTAACTTGACCACTGGTGAGATCGCAGAGATGTCAGGAGGTGCCGCTGCTGTGGCCTATGAGGTGCATTTTGAGCTTTGTCTAAGTTGGGCTATACTTGTCTGGCTGAACACATACTGCCATATGCATGACGTGCATTGCATATCCAATGTAACTGCGTCTTATATGTGTGTTGACACGCCGTATACCCCTCCGAAGCCGCACCCCGATTCCCGTCTCTTACGTACAGCTAATCATTGCTGAAAGTGACTGGGCTCCTGAGCCCCTTAACCACCTTGAGACAATCCACCCGCCACCCTGTGTACATGTGGTACGCATATTTCCTCATTCTACATCTGCGAGTGACTGCGGACACAGTTCGTAAACGCGCTAGTTACCCACGGAATTCGCTTCTATCATTTGTGATACCTCTTGCATTTGCCGTCTCGGGATCTTATCATTACCACTGGGTACCGTCACACAGGTTCGTGTAGGCCAACTCGGAAACATTAATGGTTCAAACCCGCATGCGTCTTTAGTCTATTGCCCCTGGTCTATACTTGACATGATGTGCGTGCATGTGGGGCCATGACTGGTACAACGCAGTCCAATCCTGGTCCCTTCGTAGGCGTTGGCATCCTGCGGCCATTCGGAATCACAATATCAGACAACTCCGTAGATGGACGCCTCCATCTGATTGCTTTAATGCGCCACATGAACGCTGAGCGCTTCTTCACCTCATACGGACATGCCTTTTACTTGTCGGTGCATCTGTTCCATGGAGCTTTTCTTGTAACTTATTGTTTTTCTATTCAATGGGCTCCTGTTAATTGCTGGCTACGCGCGACCCGGACAAATGTTCCCTCGTTTTATGTGTATACCACTGTTCAACTTCATTTTGATAACAGAAATGAGCTACCATGTTGCTGATAGTACCAAGTGAGCTGATTACAAATATGCAACCCAAATGTTTTCATCACATCTTGGTTTATTTACTTTCAATTTTTCATTTCAGCTAAGCAGTGTGTTCCATGCATCGAATGCTCACCTGTGATTTGTCCACTGACTCCCTGTAACCGTATGAAAGAAGTGATATTGGCCATGGTATCCACTTGATACTGACAATCGATTGAGAGCTACGTTTCCTTAATTTATATCTTGATCATGGCTCAAAGACGCTTTCATGTCAATGGCCGAACTCATTTTTGTTACATCTGTGGACAGTTTACTACAAAGTCACAGTGCAGACCCATTTCTTCACTACTGAAGTCAGCCTACCAAGCGCATTTCGGGATGAAACTGGGAAACTGGGTCAGGATAAGAAGTTGACACTGCATATTGTTTGTGTATCGTGCAGTCTTCGTCTGACTCAGTGGCTCAAGGGCAAAGGCAAAATGCCCTTTGCAATCCCCATGGTTTGGAGGTAGCCGAAGGATCACACGACAGACTGCTACTTCTGTCTAACTAGTTTCGTTGGAATCTCCAACCGAAACAAGGACAAAATTCATTACCCCGATCTACCATCAGCTATTCGACTTGTTCTACATGATTGCACTTTACCCATTCCAATATCTCCAGTGAACATGTCACTGATGATGAGTAGTGCTTCTAAATCGTCAACTTCCCCTGATTCTTACATCTGTGAAAACTTTGAAGCTGATGTTATCAACCCACATCTTATTGAAAAATCAAAGCTGAATGACTTGGTAGGTGACCTGAGCTTGCCTAAAGGCAAGGCCGAGTTACTGGTATCTCGGCTGCAGCAGTGGCACTTATTTGCTCCAAACGCTGAGGTTACTGTACACTGAAAGCGAAGTGTTAAACCGTCCGGTTTCTAGGACACGAGAGAAACCTTTTGTTACTGTTCCGACGTGGAAGGACTGAAGAAAGAGCTTAGCGTGAGGCATATCACTGATTAATGGCGTTGGCTCGTTAGCTCGTCTAAAAGTAGCCTTAAGACTATGTGTACCCTACTATACCTCTGTTGCATACCACAACTGTGATGGAGACTTACGAAAGTATGCAACAGATACTCGCTTCACTGAACTACGATAGGTACTGTTGGAACATCTGTTGCATCATTGGACTCCAAATGGGTATGCAAAGTGGAGTCACAAAATATTTCTGTTTCTTATGCTTCTGGGACATTAGAGCAACTCAACTGCATTGCATAACTGAAAAGTGGCCAGAGAGGACGGAGTATGCTGCAGGGAAAATGAGTGTAAAACATAGACCTCTTGTGCAACCTGATCATGTCTATTTACCACCCGTGGACATCAAACTTGGTTTGATTAAAACTTCGTCAAAGTCCTCAAACTGGATGGTTTTGTGTTTCTGTTCCTGAAACAAATGTTTCTGAAGATCAGTGATGGGAAGCTCAAAGAAGGGATACTTACTGGGCTTGATATTCGCCGGATAATGGCACACAGTGATTTCGAATACCAGTTGACTTCATTTGAGTTAGAAGCGTGGAGATCATTCAAGACAGTGTGTACATAATTTTTGGAGTGAACAAAGGCAGAGAACTATAAATTCTTTATTTAAAAAAACTCATTGCAGACGGTTAAGCTGTTGATGCTCGGATGTCGCTCAAGATTCACTTTCTACATGATCACTTTGAAGTTTTCCCTGAGAACTTGGGATCTGTTAGCGATGAACATGGTGAGCGCTTTCAACAAGATATTTTAGTTGTAGAGTAGCGCTACAGCAGTGGCTAGTACACGCATTCCATGATGTGTGACTTTTGCTGGTCTCTGCAGCTTGAAAGCACTGGACCATGAAAGCAACAATCTCGGCAAAGTCATCATTTCCCATTGCCAAGCTGCAGTCAGTAGTCAGGGACGAGTGTTGTAATGTTGTTTGAAACGTTTTCACCACACACCTGCATTCTGTATATGTTATGCTTCAGTACATCTGCATATAAATCGTATGATTTAGACAGAACATCATTGGCTTATAACATCGTAACCTGACGTGCTAGGTGACATCGGGATCCATTTCTACGATCAGTAGAGTGTATTCTATAAGATAGAGATATTTCTGTTAGAGAAAATTATTTTTTCTTGAACAGTGTATTTAGAGTTGCTCGCCGAGTTCGGTGTTGCTTAACATCCAGCCCCACTTGTCCAGTCAAAGAGCCCCATTTTGTCTGATCGACTGCTGCCATACCGCAGTACAAAGCAGTCAGTTCCGTCTGTGGCTTTTCTACTAACGATTAGTGGCCCTGCTTCGTTTGTTTACACTTTGTTGGGGTTTTGTTACATGGCTTTTTATACGTTTCATAGCACAGTTCGCTCTCAGCTATTTGTTTTCAGGTTGATCAAATTGACACGGAAACACTGCTTCGAATACAAGATGAGCTCATGAAAGAGCTTGGACACGGTAAATTTTGGCCTTTCTTTATGTCATGATTCGCTTAGTTTATCGTATTTTTCTTTGAATCTTAGTGTCCCCTTCGGATCGCAATACTGATATACAGGGCACTCCTTTTTGCTGTCTGGTGTGACTTTCTCCTTTTTGACACATGATCACCAGCAGGCAGTTCTAGTTCATTGCGGTCTCTTCTCTTTTTCAGATTCTTTATCACTGTCTAACGATTCTTGCTCCCCTCTGGACGCAGATGTCACATGTCCCATCTGCTCCGTGTACGTTTACTGTTTTGTACATTCTTCGTGGACAGACAATTGCATTGACTCACCATTGTTCACTTGTTGACTTCATCACTCCTTGCTCCTCACCGTGTTCTCATTTGAGAGAAGTTATGTTCTCTGCATTTCTCGGTTTCCTTGTTTCTGTTATAAAACTTACTTCTACCAGGTAACTGGCTTGGCAATTCCAGATCCTATCGTTTGTGTATCTGTGAATACATAACGCGCCGCTACGCATGTTGCTTTGTTTGTGGTCCACTCCCCCACGTCAGCAAACTTAGGTATATCCCTGGCGCACTGACTCGTCGAACGTTTTTCTTCTTACCGTAGGTTCCTCATTGGCAATGGACCATCATAGTTCTCGATTAGAACTTGTCAACTTATCTTGTCTGTGATGCAGTTATCATGTTACTTTGACCACCGCTGGTTTTGTATCAGCTTCTGCTTGTTAGCCACGTTTCCTGTCATGGACAGATACCCAAACCTCGCGTAGCATTCACAATAACCGCTTCACGTTCTTTTACTTCGATAAATCTATTCGTCCTTGGCTGAACCCTCCAGTTGGTCATAGACGATCGGCTTTCGAGTTGATCGTTTCGCGACTGGTACCCCAACTCTAGTTCTCATGCATTGAAATTGTGGTCGTTGTTCCAAGTGTTTTCTTCTCTACCGAATGTCTCAGTGATCAAACCTTTCGTGTGTCTGCTACGGGTTCACCTATCAAACTCTCGCATCCACTTGTGCCTGCCTGAAAGTTGTAACGGGGAGGAACCAGTCTTGGGGTCCTGTATTGACAGCGAGGTACATGTAATTTCTTCCATTTCTGCATGCAGTCATCGAGATGACCGAGGTACGCTTATCTGTAACTTTTCAACTAAATTGAGTTTGTAAGCTGTAATCCGTACAGCTGACATTGCAACCGCAATCTTGCACATACCAAATTACGAGAACGAAGAACCATCTGGTGCACAACTGCTTTCAATGATTCATCATCAGATCATCATCATCAGCGTCATCTACAGTATTCCTGAGCTTTCTCCCGCAGATTCTGGAAGCATCTCCCATCTATTGCGGAGACGATCTTTATCCGACACCTCAGTCCAGAGTTAGGCTTACAACAACAGTTTGTTCGTCCTTTACTTCTACCGTAAAAAAATCGACCCAGTTAGTCCAAAACGAAAAGACCACCTGAGGGTCTGTGTCACAGATGAGAAACACAGACTAAGTCTTAGTAGTTCAGTTGTTTGCTGCAGAGTTTGACCGAAGACAGCCGACCTGGGCATCTTCCGCTTTCGCTGGCCAGCTGGGAAGCTATATCACACAACTTTTTCATTCTCACAGACATTTTGCGCCCTTTACTTTTGTCGTGTTGGATCACATGGGCACACATCCCCTCTTTGGATCGCTTTCTCCGGGCCACCTTTCAGACATGATATCAGAGTTGGGGTATTAGCTCTTGTTTCTCAGCGCTTGATAATTCTTACTTCCGAAACGGATTTTCCATCTTTTATTCATACTGTTTATCAGTTAACGAGTTACCGCTTCTCTGTCTGTTCACGCGTTGACCTGGCGCACATGTCCCCTTAACCGAGTTTAGTGCACTCCTCATGTCATTTGACTGTGTGTGATTCCACGTGTGCTCCCCAACATCTGGTCATTGGTTTCTTTCGCTGCATCCTGCATTTCAGCTGCGAGCTACACATGTCCGGAACGGTTCTATCCTGTCCCTGTGGATTGCAGATCGACACACAGGTAAATTGCAACTAGGTTTTGCTTATTTTTCTTCGTTTAAACACCTCACGGTGCACTGGTCTCGTTGATCTTGTGCTAAATATCTGATATGTTGCTCAGACCTATCCACTTATGATTACTAATACCTGTACCGAATAGGGTCCATTCCACTTAGGTTGAAACCGTATGTGTTATATTTGTTGTCTAGTTCTATTGATACCGAATTTATTAGTCTATCTTTCTTGCTCATCTGATTGTGGCTCACCAGTCTCTGTCCAAACCCATCATTTTCTCAACATAGTGCGCATTAAGTTTTTGAAACGTATACCCCAAATGTGAGTTCAACCATACTCCTTACTCCAACTGCCGTCGTGAAACTTCGTCTTCCCACGGCACTACATCGTCCACGTGATCTTTTTTCGCTTCCGCCTCTCATTTACCCCTAACTCGTTTCCATAAAGCCAAACAGAAGGGGACTATTCTTGGAGCGCTTCGCTGTGGTTCTCTCCCATCCCTGTCCTCCACCACCGACGGTTTCACCCTGGTTTGGACTCATCAAGTAGAGGTAGCTGAACTGGGAGTAAAACCCGATACGTAGTGCTTGCTGGATATCGCCACGATCACTACGCCATAGAGCTCCTCGAGCAGTGCTTGACGCAGCGGTTAGAAGTTGATTTTTCGGGTTTCAAAGCTCTAGATTTTGCCACACGCGCCATGAGTTTTGCTTGGTCGCCCTCCAGGCTATAGGCTTCGTAACACATGACGCTTTTCATCGTTTTCGCACTCACAGTTTTGTCGATGGCAACACTCTACCACTTATCGGAAATAATGTCCATTATGTGCCCTAGTCACTTTAACATCAGCAACTTGCTTTTCACTCGTTGCCACATATGGTCTCCCACCATCATCAACCTTGCTTCAGACCAAGCTTCCATGGCGTTTCTGCTTTTATCTACTGGATATATGGGTCTGTAATCGACACATACATAATAACAATACGCATATTCCTCGATTGTGCGAGATGCTGTCCCTGGATTGGCGCCAGATCATGAGTAAATAATTATCATACTCATGCATGAGTGAGTGGGGGGCGTGACATCAAACCATTTTGGAATCACATAATTTTTGTTGTTACTGGGTTTTGTGTACCATCCTTTCTCTATAGATATATATTTCTTTGCCCATTCTGGAAGAACTCCTGTAGTTTTGTTCGTCGCAATCAGCCGACAATTCAGATATGTCGACCAGCTATCCGAAAAAGCACCAGACGGCCGTTTCGCCCTATTGGGGCTCATCAGTGGTGCGCATCCTTCGGTCCTCTGCGGAGGATCGAACCCATGACTGCTAGTGGCTCTTGCCAACTAGCCCGCAGCTTATGCAACTGCGCCATGGAGGACGGTATCCGACCATCACGAATTGTTAGCTAAATGCGATATAGTCCGACCCATCTTCCACTGCCATGCAGGCACCTGCCATGCAGATGACAGCGGTTGGCCTTCCGGCGTCAGGACTTCCCGGTTACGGCAGCTATGAATCGACATAGCATTTTGTGGAAACCGTAAGGGCGAATTGGTATTACTTATGAGTGGAAGGATTTTGGTGGGTATTTTTGTTCGTCGCAATCAGCCGACAATTCAGATATGTCGACCAGCTATCCGAAAAAGCACCAGACGGCCGTTTCGCCCTATTGGGGCTCATCAGTGGTGCGCATCCTTCGGTCCTCTGCGGAGGATCGAACCCATAACTGCTGGTGGCTCTTGCCAACTAGCCCGCAGCTTATGCAATTGCGGACCACTGATGAGCCCCAATAGGGCGAAACGGCCGTCTGGTGCTTTTCCGGATAGCTGGTCGACATATCTGAATTGTCGGCTGATTGCGACGAACAAAAATACCCACCAAAATCCTTCCACACATAAGTAACTCCTGTAGTTATTTACCTGATGGAAACATGGTCATTATCGAGTTCTGGTCTAGGAAATTTCGAAGCTGAATGCGGAATGTTCTTGTATTTGTGCAAGACTTGATAGTGGCTGGTAGGCTATTTCACACGATAGCGTATCTAACCAGGAAGAAGTTAGATCAAATACCTGTCCTGGTTCTTGGCACAATTAGTTTAAAAGTTCTGTTATGTAGTTTCCGAGTGAAGTTATGTTGCACTTTTATTGTGCATAGATTGGATTATGTTTTTTGGTTTATGAGGTTGTGTATCAGTATGAAGTTATGTTATAGTCGTCGCAATCAAAGAGGCTCGAGGTTAATCTGTTGGCAACGCCCCTGATAACTCAAGTTGGAAGATTTGCTGAACAAACTTTAGTGAATAACCTCTGCGGGTTTTTCCCAACTTTTCTGGCACTCAAACGCATCTTTCTCTAAATGATGCTGTCGTATACAAAAATCGGAAGTGTGGAGATTTTGAAAAGCTTGATTCTGGCAGGGACTGTGTAGATTTTATGGCATATGTTAACCATTGTTCGTTTGGCGCATGTTACTTGCTATTCAGCCTGCTCTAAGAAATTGTAGTTTGAAGTGTATCATATGACTAGATCACAGTTCATTATGCATTTTTACTGATTGTTCAGGAACCAAACATCCTTATGACATGATGTATGATTTCCTAGCTGAGAATCTTACCTTGTCAGTCATGTGTCGCACTATTTCCCAAGTGAATCGATGTCTTCTTGAACACGCAATATTGTGCTTTAGAGTTCGTCTCGTCGAAATCTATAACATCTTTATGTCATCGGCGAACACAAATAAAGTAAGAAAAGGGAATTATCAAGTACACTTCTTTGGATGACACCGCTAGTGCTTGGACGTGGGAAAGACTTATGATTGCCCAGAGTGACTATCTGGTAAGGCCCATTTAGGTATGATGTCAACCAACTCAGTAGTGGGTCTCTGATTCCAAATGACTCCATTCTTTTCAGTAGCCGCTTGTGAGGCGCCCTGTCGAATATCTTTTGCGTATCCTGGAACAACATTATAACTAAATACTTGGAGTCAATGGCTTCTGTGATGTAATCCACGTACTGCAACTAACATGTTGTACAAGAATATTCATCGAGGAACACATGGTAGGATTTGTTAAACACCTCATGACGATTAATAAAGTACATGATTCCACTTTTAATTAAATTCTTCGAGCAATCTAGCAATGATGAGAGTGTGGTAGATAGGTCAATAATTAGTGACGTTCTGTGTGGGCCCCGCTTTATGACGAGGATCAATAAACGATGTTTTCCACTGACCAGGAAAGTAACTAGATTCTAACGACAAGGGGAACATGTTAAGCAAAAGCAGTGGCATGTCAGGCCCACCGAGCTTAATAACGGTTGGGGATATGCCATCGGAGTCTAGTTTGTGTGATGGTTTGATAGACTTCATAGCCTGTCGGACGATCGAAAGAGAAATCTCGACCTTCTGTATGCCACACAATGGACACGATAGAACTTGACATGAGCCGCTTGTCCATGGTCGAAATCCACGACGAACAAGCGATTAACCAACTAAGTAAGCCAAAGAAGTGGGCCAAAGACGATGAGCTCAATTTTGTCTGTGATGTCTTCCTTATACCACCCCCTCGAATTAGTTGCCCCTAGAATCATGCCCACAAAGTTACTGCCGCAGAAATTGTGCATAGAAAAACTCAGTTAGAACCATCCAGTTGAGTTAACAGACTTTCGTGATCAAGCAACTCTTACGCCAAATAATATGCTGTTACTTAGACCAACTGTAGCAAGGTTGGCGCCAGCGACACTGTATAACCAGTATGCTCGATGTTGGAAACGGACGAGCTATTTAGCTATGTTATGTTGGAAAAGGTATAGCAATGAATACCTCACCCTAATGCATACCAAACAGAAATGGCTTAAACCGCGCTGCAACTTTAGACCCGAAGTATTCTCGAATACATTCCTTCGTTATAGTCGGCCGTTGGTGGTGATAGAGAGTTGCAAAACATCCAAGGACGGCTCAATAAAAACCGTAATGGTTAACATGAAAGGGGGCGTATATGACCGCGACATCAGAAAGATATGCCTTACAGAAGGCAGCGAATGGGAAGATGAGTCAGTCCCGGCTGTTATCTCTCCGCACGCGGGAAGTGGGTTTTTGGATCCGCCGCCTCAGGGAAGACCACAGTGAGTTCAACATGCCGAAGTGGGAGAGTGCAGGCGTACCATTGTAAGTCCTGTAACTCTCCCCTAGCGGATGAAGCAGGCTAGTGTGAACCAGAGTACATCGAAACCCAGAAGCAATTTCGGTCGCAATTTGGTCGGGACTGTAGAAGATTCCCAAATGTCCCATTCTCTGCTGCCTTCTTCCCGCTCCCTGCCTAATGGTTGTGATTCCCTTTACCGTTTTCCCAACTCCCTTCCCTGTCCCATCCGGTCTTTATTACCTGGCTCTCAATGGAGATTGTGTTCCGTGCCAAGGTACTTAAGTTTATTTGCACTTTAAACTCACAGGTGATCTGCATTCAACCGTGCATGCATTAAACGATATTTCCAAGTTCGGGACAGTCCTAATTGTTGCTTCATGTGGCTTCGCCTCATGTTATCAGTTTGTGATGTTCCGTTTTAACTCCTTCGCCGTGGCATTCGGATACTGGCGCCCAAGATATTCCTCACATCGCATGTGACCTGACGGTGTTGCGAGATCATGTGAGTAGCGTTCACATACATGAAACCACCTCGTCCGTGAAGACAACTGTACATGTTCCTCCATATGCAATCGAAACACTTGCAATACCATCACGGTGTGTCTGTGTGTGTAAGGCACTGGCCGAATGCCCACGTTTCACGGCAACCCTTTCCGATTGGTCATGTGTAAGCCTGTTAAAGCCACAGTACATTGAGACGAGCTTATTCTGCGCGAACTTGAAGTTCAGCTTGCTGGCTACCTTGGTGGATTGTTGTCGTTGTCTGATACACCTGTGCCGGAAGCACCGATTATTGAGGTATTGTGCAGTGTTGTTTTTAATTATTTGTACTAGTACCGTATTCCAGTTCCGGTGCAAATGC